CACCTTTAACCTTTGGGCAAATATGTAATTATAAAATTGCATTTTCAATCCCCATAATATTATTTTAATTACAATCCCTAATAACATTTATTCTATCATTAAATAAAATCCCTAAAATTAAAAACAAACTCCCTAAAATATAAAAAATCTTTACTAGAAAATTTTGGGATGTTACATTAAGAGTAGAGCGTCACAACTCCAGTCGGCAGAACTTAAAAGCAAGCTATAGAGCTCGCTTGTGCAATCTCCTCGAAGGCTGGACGGATCAAAACACTAAAACACGTGATTTTAAGGATGTCCTGAGTATTTGACAACTCAATCTTTTAGATTTTTAGAAAGAAAAACTATATATCTTAGAAGTCCAGGAGAGGATTGAGAGAGATTTTTGGAGGCAAGACTTGTAATGGGATGAGGACCGACTTGGGTCCAAGACTTTTATCTCTGTTCCATCTCATCCTCATTGTTCAGACTAAATCTCTACAAGGATCGGATATTTCTCATCCCCATTGTCATCCATATTATTGATTTGTTTCGAATTGTTTCATAGGGATATTGATTAATAAAGTTTGGCACTGATAAAATAAGAGGATATAAAAATAATATTGCACTAATGGGAATAGATCATGGGCTAAAATAGGTAATGATCAAATGAAGTACCTAACATGAAAATTAATTGACATAGTTTATTATAACATGATATGATGCCCAAATTGTTATTGGAACAAATGTAGTTAGTAAACGAACACATGTAAATATCTAAACCAACTTTAAGATGGCGAAACGTGGTGGTTGAACAATTTTGCTATGTGGCTAAAATTAATTAAGAAGACGTTGTCTAAGAATTTATTTCATTGAAGTAAACTTTGTATATTGGTAATCTATTCATACTTGTTAATTTGACTAATGAGTAACATTACAATTTAGGGCATGTTCGATAGTAATTATAAGAATTGATTTTTTGACTTTTAGAGAGAAAAACATGTCCTCTCTGTGAGTGAAAAGTTAAAAATCATCATTGGAATGGTGAAATAACGATAAAAAAATAAATTCTTTGGGATGAAAAATTACTACCAAATGGGGGCATAGTTAGTTCATTCCAACATTTTTTGTTAATCAAAATAATAATTATAGACAGACTTACTAACTTTAATATTAAAATTTAAGCACAATATTTATTTAAAATCAGTGTTCTAAAATGCTTGTCTAAACTTGAAGTTTGTTTTATCATCTAATCACACTTTATTATATTTAGACATGCCCATTTAAGTTCATTAATAAGCCGATGTTTGGCCCCCATTTTTTAAAATTCATTTTCGATTATATATTCTTTTATAAAATAATTTTAAATACGAACTCAATTGTTTTTCTTATTTTTAACCACATATTTTTTTATAAAATATTATTCTAAAATATATTTTGACGAAAAAGGTTTCAATGGCTAAAACTTGAAACTTGATCCTACCATATAGTAATATTTCTTAGTGCAGAGTTTAGAGTAAGATATGTTTAACAAACGTAGTTTTTCTTTTTTATTTATTTACCGAGATCAAATGAGAGTGTTGCGTGTCGATGTCGAGCTTCATGAAAATTCCATAGGCACCCAACCCAACTTCATCTTCCTCACCGATAATCCTACTATCTAGTTTCATTTATCCTTTCCCGGCAACTCCCGAACAGACGTACAGATACAGTTCGCTTGTATTTCATGTATGATTTCTTCAGTTTCACTTATTACCAACATCGAAATCATAATATTTTTTCCTTCAATTTTGTTTCAAAAGCGTTCCCCCTTTTCTCAAATGGACTTCTTTTAAATTTCTTGGTAAACCCTCCAGAAAACCAAAAAAGTTAAAGAAAAAAGAACCCCCTTTTTCTGAATTTTCGAATTTCTTTTTCTTTGGAACATAATTTTCTTCTTGACAAAGAAAATAAATTATTCTATAATATAACATGGGCAATAATGGGAGTAGTGGAGTGAATGGCCGGAGGAGGAATTCGAGCAGTCGGAGCCACCCCTTGCCTCCGCCACCGATGCGGGCTCAAACAGAGATTACCCCCAACAGGTATTTTTTCGCGGTGGCAACGCCGTACAGTAACACTCCCGCCTATTACCAGTACCCTGGTAGCTACCCACTGCCGCCTCCGCCAACTACGCCGGTGCCTCTGCCTGTAGCTGACCATCACCACACTCCTGCCCAGTCCAATTGGGTTAGCGGGCGGTACGTGTGTCGGTACACTATGCAGCCTCCGGTACTCCATGTGCAGCACCAGAAGGCTGTAATTATTCGGAACGATGTTAATTTAAAAAAAGAGACTTTAAGGATTGAGCCCGACGAAGTGAATCCTGGAAAGTACCTAGTTGCATTTACTTTGGACGCCACCATGGCTGGAAGGTAACATAAGTTTTCTGAGTATTTTCTTTATTTTTTTGTCTTCCTTTAATGCATTTCTTTTTTTGGGGTTATGTGATGATTCAATGGCGACCTCGAATTGGGATTTTATACTGAATTTGAAATGATTTTGCATTGAGCTATGATAGGTTTTGGAATGAATTTAAAAAAAAAAAATTGTATTTTTTGGGTGTAAATATAAAGAAAAGAATTGTTAGAGAACTGTGTTTGTAATGCATTGATGATCTTACAGAAAAGGATTTGATGAATTTGCTTCTATTCTAGTATTTTATTGGTTTCTCCAAGGAAATTTTTGCAGAGTTAATTCAATGTTGTAATGGAGTTCTAGTTCTATCTTTGATAAGAGTTTTATTGTTTGTTCGATGAAATTAATGTTATCTAGCTGAGTGGAATTAGATTCTACTGCTAGAGTTATAATAAAATGAAACTTGTTTCCAGGGTGATAGATTGTACCCAGGGAGCCAGAGATTGAAGTTAGAATGGGCAACTTTTAAAAATAAAAAATATGAACTCACGACACAACAGATGGAGTTTAGGAGGCTAAGAAGCTCATGACACTAATAGCAAAGAGTGTTGACACTCAATAAAATACAAGTCTAGATGTCTACCCTTAGCTGTTCCAATAGATCTTCTTAGCTAATTTTTTTTTTTTTTTTTGGTCAAATGGGAAATTGAAGCTCACCCTAGAAATTTTAAATTGACAGAAGTACGATGGGCATAAGTAAATTATATATATCCACCAATAAAAAATGAAGAAAATACCTAATAAGTACTATTCCAAAGAACATTGACAACCAATCATTCCAAACAATTGAAAGTTTTGGCCAGAACACGCAATCAAAAATATATCACTACCCAACACATTCCACAATGGGTGAAGAATCCTTCCCAAACTGGAAAGCCGACCAGAAATTCTGAGGTTTGAAAAAAATTAATGTTCAGGTTCATAATTGGCTAAACTTTAATAATATACATACAGTCAGAATAATTTATAAATAAATAAGTTTTAATAATATTTTTTCATTAGCTAGATTAAGGCTTTGTTTGTCTACTATTTTTCCACATTCTACGACATCATTTTTTGTACAGTACTCATTTTCAACCATACATTTTTCATTAAAATAATATTTTTTT